TTAAAGCGTTAAATAGAAAAAGGAGACCACCCTAGAGATTCTAAACGTCAAACGGAGAAGTTAATGACGATAATAATTATGGCGGCATAAGCCAAAAAAGACAAAAATTTCTTAAGCTATGTCCATCATGGGACTTACCCTGAATGGTTCTAACAATTTTTAAAATTTTATTGGTACTTTTTGTGTCTGATAGTTGCCTGAAAATTCGTAATAGATTGGGTCTGGGCAAGGTGAATAAATAGTATTTTGACATTTAGAACTTATTTTTTTCTAAATTTTAAGTTTTATATATATATATATATATATATATATATATATATATATATATATATATATATATATATATATATATATATATATATATATAAAAGTTATATAATAAAATTATTAATTCAGTAGATAATTGAAAAACCATTTGTATATCAATATTGCTTTTATCCTTTTGGCTCATTGAACCATTTTCAAGTTTATCATTTTTATAAATTCCATTGTTTCTCGTGTAAAAAGAACTCATCATATAAAAATCTTTTTATCATTTTCATTGTTCTTATATTGGTTCTTTTATACTTTAAACATATCAGTTAATTTTTTTCTCACTGTTATGGGATTCATAATTGATACTACAAACATCTGTTTTATAAAACGTATGAAACAGGTAGTTCCTTTAAAGCTTTACGAAGTGACAAAAACGTAATTATGACTCTATGGAGGCATAGATTATTACAGAAAATAAAGAGGTGTTCTAGATTACACAAACTCCCCGTCTCAGACACAGTTCGGTATCTTGGATTCCTTTTAGACAAAAGACTAACTTGGAACCCACATACTAGACTTAAAAGACAAGAACTTAACCGACGATTTGGCCAGCTATACAGACTACTTAACAGAAAATCCAATCTATCAATAGAAATCAAACTATTAATATACAAGACCATACTCAAACCCATCTGGACTTACGGACTTGAACTGTGGGGAACAACTAAATTTTCAAACATCAAACGCATCCAATCCTTTCAGTCTAAAGTCCTCCGTATGATAGTCAATGCTCCTTATTACGTCACAAACAAAACCCTACATCATGACCTTTACATCCCTTATATCCTTGACGTTATTCCATCCCGATTCTCAAATTTTCACATGAACCTAATCCACCATCCTAACCCTTTAGCACAATCCTTATCTAGCTCCAGTCATCCCTACAACCCTCCTCGAAGGTTGAAACGGCAGTGGCCTCGAGATCTCTTGTAAAGACGTCACTGGAGTTCTGGCAATGGCCAGCTTCTCCACTCAAGTCATGAGTGTTTGTGGTTTTAGTGCCCTCTCTCAGTCTCCAACGGACTGGTAATGCCGGCGATGCGGTTGAGAGAGAAGCGCTGGGATCTCTTAGGGTCTCGCTTTGTCCTTCACACATGGGGGAAAGGGCTGGACTCGGAGATCTCTTACCTAATTGTAAATATTGTATTTAAGTATGAATGTTTTTCTATTTATTTCTATTACTTATAATTTATTTAATTTTGCCACGAATTTCTGTATTTCATTTAATTTTAACTCTTAGTTACATTTCCTAGTTTATTATAGTTTTTGCCTTTGTTATATAGATTTTTATATTTTTTATTTATTTACTTATTTATTATTATTATTATTTTTTTTTATGTATTGTATATATGGTATGAATGTGCCTCTCTCAGCCTTAATACTCAGTGCCCTTAAGTGTGGCAAAACGTATTATTACTCAATAAACAGATAGATAAAAAAAAAAAAAAAAAAAAAAAAAGATTACACAAAACATCAGTGTGTTATATTAAAGAAGTCAGTTTAATAAAATAGATGTTTATTGTATTAATTATGAATCCTGTAGTATGTTTAAGCAACTATTCAAAACAGTGAAATTACTAAAGGGAGAAAAATTCAGCTGTTATATTTAACAACATTTTCTGTGTCGACCCCGATCTTATCTGTTCAAATGTTACTGGGCTACTGATGGGAGCCTACGCAGAAGATGATGAATATAAGAATAAGAAAAATGGAAACAAAGTTCTTTATTTACGAGTTCTATTTACATAAGAAACGAAAGAATTCTTAAACATGATAGGCTCAATGAGCTGAAAGGTCATAATCCAGTAAAGGATTGAAAAAAACAGAAACAATATTAAAGTACCAATCGCTTTTTAATCAACCATTTAATATATGATACCGAAAGAAAAGAAAATTATACTAAAATTATTTACTATCGTTAAAAGTAGATAAAATTTGGTCTCTTAGTATGATAATACATAATTATTGATAGGAAATGGCATTACCCTTGAAAGAGATGAAATAATGAGGTTGGTGGTTAGTGACACAAACTGTCTATGAATGAGCATCGATCTTATCCGTTGTTATTATTATTATTTTTATCAGCTATAAGATTTTTGAAGCATTAGCTCCGTTAAAACAGATAAGAGGTGATGCTATAATACAGTTGTTTTTATTCTTATTTTATTACATACTTTTATTATTTCAAGGTGTTTTATCGGCTGATTTTATAGGTTATAAAATTTGTAGAGTTATCGGTACAGAATCAAGTGTTTTCAGCCGTTAAAGTCTTTAAAGATAAGATTAATTTTATTAAGCGTAACCATCAGTATATTGTAAAGTTTCAAATTAATCAGCTGAAACTAGATTTTATAGACCTTGTAACGATTAATTTTATTTTTGTATCTTGTTCTTATTTATTTATTTGTATCGTAGCCAATATGGCAATACGGGATTCAGCAGCAGCAGAACTTAGCTGAATACGTAATATTACTGCTGCCAATTTTCTCTGCTTCATTCATAGTTTCCTACGATCTTCTATTTTCTTGAATCAATCTTCTATTATGCTTACTGTGGGTCCGGCGGTCAACCTGGTGCAGGGATTCATCTTCTTCGGGTTCCGAGATTGAAGTAGGCCCTCCCCACCATTGCTTTACATCCAAAAGTAATTGTTTGAACTGCAGCAAATTGTCCTCAAATACTAATAAAGGAAATTCATTTTCAATGAGAACATAGATTTCAACAGCTCTTGTTAATGTGGCCATTAAGGCCTCACTTAAATGTGGTGCAAGTCGTGACCACATTTTCTACAGTTTCCAGAACACTACATGTTGGACATAGAGGATCTACCTCATCAATGCCAAGGCTGTGAAGCTTGGTTCGAAATCCTCTGTGCCCAGTGAGAAATTAGGAAATCCAGTATACCTGGAAGACCCACTTTGCTTTTAGCTCCAGCTAATTTAAGTATTCGTCAATCGTGTCCTCCGGGTATCTTCTTTTTAGCCCTGATGAAGACCTACAACTTAGGTTGAAATGTATGCTTGGTTTGACTACCTTAAATTTTGAATAGGTTTATAACCTAAGAGATTTATTTTTGTGAAATTTTGACACTTATGTTGTATACTTAAACATATTTTATTCATAAAAAAACATTCTATTCATGAAACCCTACAAAAATAGTCCAAGATTAAAATAAACCATTATTAATAATAAATTACAAACATTTATTTCTTTTTAAAACTTTATTCAAAAAGATTTTTTTTATCTTATGCCTTTATCTTGAACCCTTTCATCCATGTGACGTCTAGCAGCTCGGTAAATTTCACCTTCTGTCCTGGCTTTGTTTCTAATGTCCTGTAGTCCGGAACAAGTCAGTAGATGCAGAGCAGTCATGAATCCCTGTCGACACAGTGGACATGTTGCTGATTTGACAACTCCAATACAGTATAGATGGCTTTGGAGATATTCATGTCCAGTTTTCATCCTAAACTGTGTAATGGCCTCACTTCTAGGGAGATCCACTGGCACTCTTCCATTCTCTTAAGTAAAGAAGTCCATTGCTTCTCTTTTAACTCCAGCTGCCGTTTCTGTTCTATTTCTTCAATGATTACTGTTTTGATTAGCTTCTTTGCCATCAAGAAAGGGATTGGCATATCTGGCTGATCTTTTCCTTCGGCACTGGCAAAAGATATATATATATATTTTTTTTATTTATTTTTTTTGTTTTTCTGTTGATGTTACAGACCATGTAGATCTTTTGCCGCCTTAAAAAGCCTGCTCCATCTCTGTTTGTCTTGGGCTATTTCCTTCCATTTATCTACAGCTCTGTTGCATTTTTGTTAATTCTATCTATCCATCTACTTATTGACCTTCCATTGAGTTGTCTATTGCCTTCTATTGAGGCATTCATTGTTAAGTAGAGGTGTCCAGATGGATTGCTACGAGCTACATGCCCCGCCCATCTTAACTTCCGTGCCTTCATATCATGAGATATTGATTGACCAGTTTCTGTTAGCAGTTCTTTATTGGTCTTTCTTCATGTGTTAGTACTCTGATCCCAGATCGCTCCGGTTATCGTGCGGAGGATTTTCCTCTCAAATCTTTCAACAATTTTTTTCTAGAGTGCTGGTTAGTGTCCAGGTCTCACAGCCATATATTAGAACTGGCTTTATCATAGCATTGTACACACTTAGTTTGAGATTTCTTGAGATTTTTCAGGATTTTAACACCTTTGAGAGGGAGAATAAAACTCATCATTATATCTATTCAAAAAGATATAAAAATTAGAAATTAAATAATTGAAGACAAGAATGGTTGGGGCAATCAAGTAAAAAAAAAAAAAGTTTCTAGTGTAATCCTTTCGTTCGACCTGATGAAGGCCTGAACTTTGGGCCGAAACGTCGGCAAAAATAAATATATTTATTTATACTTTTTTTTTTTTGACTGATAACCCCAACCATTCTTCTCTTCAATTATTCACTACAGTCAACCATCAATCTATAATTAGAAATTAAATATTTTAAGTTTGTCATGTTAAAAAGCCCCTAATCTGTGGAATTGTAATAAATTAAATTAATTTAGTTCAATATAAAATAATCTTGTTTCTTATTCTTTATTAATTATTCGTGATAAGAAAACTTATCTGGACAATATTTAACATTTTACTTATAATTATATTCTGATTTATTATTATTATTTGATTTAAGGAACACGGGATCGGAGAGGTACGCCCGTCTGGCCCAATCGACCTCACAGATGAGACGTTCTCTGACCACTTGTCTAAAGGAAAGCACTTTGTAAAATTTTATGCTCCGTGGTGTGGACATTGCCAGGTAATCTTAATTCATAATTTATCTATTTGCAACGGTTTATAAATCCCTATACTTATTTAATTGTTTATCTATTGTGCCAAAATTAAGCTGATGAAATTGAAAAAAAAAAAAAAAAAGCAAGGAATTTTCTTTTATATTTTTTTTCTGTTTAAGGTGAAGTTCTGATTTAGTTGATAAATTAATCTGGGCTGTTTTTCACCAAACCTTCATTATTTCCACAACCATGGCAATGTTTGCGCTTTTTACGCCATTTTGAAGCCATCTTAAAAAATTTATTGAACTTTTTTTTTTTACAATTTAATTTTTCATTAAATCTTCAAAAATTTTTAATAGTATATATTAATAATAAAATTTATAATATCGAGGAAAACAGTTAATTTTATCCTTATACATTTACTTAATGCTTTAATTCATTCAAAATTCTTAATGACGTTTTGGACAATTTTGCCCATTTTCAACTCGAATTATTATATAATCCATATAATCATAATTTTATATAATTGCAAAATTTATCTCCTCAAAAGCAATCCTTCATATTATAAAATTCATAAATTATTCATGAATAATCAAATCTATGGACATTCAAAAATTAAAAATTATTTGAAAATTACTCTAATATTACACATTTTTAATAGAAGTTGCTAAAATAATCTGGGCTGTACACATTTCACCAAATCTTTATTATTTCCACAACCATGAGAAGATTTAGGCTTTTTATGCCATTTTAAAGCCATCTAAAAGAACTTATTGAAAATTAATATTTTACAATTTAATGTTTAATTAATCAGTGATGTTAATTATCTATTTAATTTAAAAAATCACTAAGGACCACTTGAATTGACCTAACCTCGATGTTTATATTTTCATGTAATGTTATTAGAACATTCTTATATAATAACAATAATAAAAGGCTTAGCGAACCCGGAGGTTCGATGCCGACACCACCAATCGCTTATCACACTTCGCCGTCCAAACATTCTTATATAAACCTTAAAAATGTGGTGGGCGTACTGAGGATTTAAGCCCTGTTAAGCAACATCAATTAGAATAAGACCTAGCTGATATTAAAGAACATTTAATTATACATTGATAAACCGAATTTAATCAAAATTGTTTGAGCCGTTTTCAAGAAAATTGTAAAGATCTGTAAAATCGAAGATATTAAAAGTTTATTTTTAGATAACTTTTACTTATCTCTTACAGATCTTTTCCAGATTATGTGTAGTATGAAGATGACATCTTTGTTGTTCTATATTATATTTTTTTTTAATTTCTTGATATTTTTCTCAATTTCAGAGCCTCTCACCTACGTGGGAGAATGTTGGTATAACGTTTGCTCCTCATGAGTCAGTTACTATCGGTAAAGTCGATTGCACTGTTCATAAAGAAGCATGTCGGACCTATGACATCAAATCTTACCCCACCCTTCTGTGGATTGAAGATGGGCAGAAGGTAATGCTTTTTATTTAATTTTTTTTTTGACATACATCATTTATTAAAATTCACAAGTTATCGCAATATAGTTTATAGTTTCCAATTAGGTCTATTAGTCTCAGAGAAATCATAGATGGCCAACAGATGGTTTTTTATGACTTTTTTTAAACACAATTTTTGGATTCTTCATATATATTAAATTCAAATACTAAGTTTGTTTTTGAAAATAATTATTATTTATTCTGTTTCAACTGCCGTGGATCAACCCTACAGACCTTGTAGATCTTTTACTGCCTTAACAAGCCTACTTCATCTCTTTCTGTCTTCCGCTATTTCTTTCCAGTTTTATGCACGCAGATCTATTACATCTTTGTTGATTCTGTCTATCCGTCTGCTTTTTGGCCTTCCATGTGTTCTTTTGCCTTCTATTGAGGCATTGATTGTTACATAGAGGCTTCCAGATGGATTGCTACGAGATACTTACCTTGCCCATCTTAACCTCCGTGCCTTCATATCATGGGGTATTGATTGACCAGTTTCTGTTAGCAGTCCTTTCTTCTCCATGTGTTAGTACTCTGATCCCAGATCACTCAGGTTGTAACCGAGGTATTTGATTGTGAAATTATACATATTAAAAATGTGTGCTTTCTAGTTTCTTTCTTCTCCATTTAACCATGACCGAGCTATAGCTGCGCGTGATCTGGGAAAGGTAGTAAGCAATAAATCTTGTATAACATTATATATTATATTGTATCAGATCGAGAAATACCAGGGCCCGAGAACAGCCGACGATTTGGAAGCTTTTGTCCTCAAGAGGCTATCGGACACAGCGGAGAAAATACCATTGGAACCTTCGCTGGAGGAGCCCCCTTCTATCCTCGCGTTGTCCAGCGCCTCCTTCAAGGAAAACATCGCCGATGGATTCACTTTTGTCAAATATTATGCTCCATGGTGAGAAGTATATCGATATTATTTACTTTGTTCTGTTTACTTTAGTGAATAAGAAAATTATAGAAGTTTTTATATGAATACTTGTATACATTTTAATATGTTCTTGTAGTCCACAGTACAGACCTCTTTTTATCAAATTATTAACATCTGTGTAAAACTTCATAAATGGTTTCATCTTATCATAACTTACAACTCTTTTATTTACAAAAAAATTTGGAATAATTGGTGAATTTTTGGAAATGAGTTTTCAAATTGAAAATCAGTAAACTTTTTTTATTTAATTGGGTACTAAAAACTCCTGAAAACCCATTTGCTTTCTTCTTTAATAGTAAGATAATTTAATCACAAAATCAAAAAAAAAAAATCTGGTGTGTCCACTCAAACGACTTGCCTACCTATTTCAGAAAAGTTTTTATATCTTTAAATATGTCCATTAAGAAACAAAAAAAAAAAAAAATTGGATTAGATATATTTTCCTGAAAATTTATCAAAGAAAAGATTTAAGTACGATTTCTTTGATAAACCAAAGCAATGTAAACAGGCTTGTGGTAGATTATTGTAAAAATTTCCATACCCTCTAATATTGCTAATCAAATGTCTAATTTTGTCACACAATAATTTCTGTTAAAAGTAGAGGAAATAGTGAAGCTTGTGTGATGCAGGCAACAGATTTTCTTACTTTCACTTAGTTATCTTTTTTCGCTCTCATTCATCCCTTTCTGATACCAGGATATAAACCCGTAATCTTACATATGAAATAGCTGTAACTTCATTAATAGTTGTCCGTAATGGACGATTTTTATGTAGTTTGGTAGGGAATTTCATTACCTTTCAAAAACACAGGATAAAGAGCGTTTTTCAGACTTAGGCGTAAGGAGCACCCAATTTGTGTCACAGTCATCAGTAGTTGAAACCCTACGTAATAAAAAAAAAGCAACAAAATCGGTTCACTAGTTCCCAAAAAATCTTGGCACAGACAGACAGACCAATGGCTAAAAATGTATTTCTCGGACTCAGGGGGATCTGAAACATATAGATCCATCGAAAACCGCATATAGGAAATTTGACCCGATCGTAATACTTTCCTTTTCTTAGTATAGGTAGGAAAGTAAAAAATGTGGACTTCAGAAATATTAGTCCATTGGTCATTATCTCCACTCCCATCATGTCAAAATAACAAGGTTACATAGACCTACCAATCCAACATTTTTGTAGGCCACCTTTTTCTTTAATTTTGTGATCAAATTTTTTTATGATTCAAATGGAAACTAATTAAACTTAACTATTCTCTTAGACTGGTTCCTTTTCTGTATGTACAACGCTCAATCTCCTGGCTAGTTGCTTCTACTGTTCTGTTTCCAGGCCTCTTTCTTTGCAAATATGATTCGTTTCACGTCCTCGCTCCACCACATACTTCCTCGACTGCCTTGAGTATACTGCATTTGATTATGTCATTTGAAAACCAATATAGTGTCAACATCTGCGTTCCCATTAACTACTTGAAAGCAATTCGTATAAGCCTACTCTTTTTTCTCTTCTCTTAGCTTGTTGACAGCTATTCTATTACATGACTTGACCATCGTTTTCCGCGGTTTTAGCAATCAGCAACCAATCTGTGATATAACTTTAATGTCTGTAAAGTACTGTCTGAGTTCCCTATCGATAATAAAATAATCAATGATGCTGTTTCTGGTATCTCTTTCAAATGTGATTTTATGGATCGTCTTATGGTTACACCATGAGTTTCCAATGAGCATTATTTTCACGCAGAACTCAATAAGCCTGATTCCATTGTTATAACTGGCGTTTGAAAAAAAAAATAATAAATAATTAAAACTGTGTTTAAACAACAATTAATTCAGTGCCACCAAGGAAGAAATAGAGTTTATAGAAAAAAAAAAAAACTTGCCAATTCATACTTGACTTTATTTTAAAATCAAACTGTGTGTTTAGTGTAAATAATTTTAGTCTGTCTGAGTCTTTTGATCTGATTGTCAGTAACCCATACCTGAGATAAAATAATTATGAAGTTTAGTTTAATATATTAATATTCTTATAATTTTGTTTTTATTTAACCTCTCATTTCTTTTGGAATTATTACAACAATATGAAGTGATCTTCCTGGAGTATTATTAGTTACAATATAAGAGATATTACAATATAATAATAATAATAATGCTTTATTTATTCTGAGATGAGTCCCTTTAGACTAATACAGAGAGACAAAGATGTGGGCTAAGGAGCCTCAGAGATACATAAACAAGAATTTAGTTACTATTATAACAAGAAATTATAAGTTACTTTCTAATTTAAATCAGTTAATAATAAAAAATAAAAAATTGAAAAAAAAACATGAAGTAAAAATAATAAAGAACGATCTAATAATTATATATATATTTACAGTAGTAGCTATTTACAATTTTATGAGGGCTGGATGGATGAGAAATGATTAAACAGTCGGGATTTTAAGGTAGGAAGAGTTTTGGATTGATGGATGGGGAGGGATGGAGTTCCATAGGGTTGAGGATCGAATAATAAATTTATTAATTTATTAAAATAATTTATTAAAAGCAGCGGTTTGGTGGGCAGATTGCGTTGAATAGCCCGGTTGAAAGCCAGATTGGAATGGATTGATGAGGGAACCTTCTTCTAGGAAGTTGGTTTTGGTTAAGGCGTTCCAGTGGTTTTGAGAGGTTGGAAAGAAGAGAAATAAGACGGAAGTCGTTCAGTGAGGAAGGGTTAGAAGTTTTATTCAAAGGTCAGACTAGTGCAGTTTTCCAGGAAGAGGGTAATATGGAGTTTTGCAATGAAAAGTTGTAGATATGATAAAGTACTGGAATAAGGGTAGGAAGGCTGGATTTTATAAGTTTTGCTGGAATATTGTCAGGACCGTAATCATTGGTCTTAATATATTTCATTAATATAAAGTATTCTGTGCGGAAGTTAGCCCAAAAATTTAAGAGCTAACTAAGGAAGATATCCCTTCTCAATGGACAAATCCATTGGACCCGTGATCTTCACTGTGGTTCTGTCCTATAAAATATTTGAAAAGCTTTATATAATAAACATTCTTTATGAGCTTAGTCATTTTTGTTTTTTGGACTTTATACTAAAATTTATTTTAATTGCAGGTGCGGCCATTGTAAACGACTCGCACCAACCTGGCAAGATTTAGGAAACAAGTTTGAAAGCGAAGAACGTGTTAAGATTGCAGAAGTGGACTGTACCCGCGAGGAGAACAGGCAGCTCTGCGATGACCAAGAGGTTTGTAGAATTTATTTCGATTTCAACCTCAGTTCTATATCTTAAGAACGAGATAAAAGAAGTAATCAGTATAAACCATTTCTCTAAAGTACGAAGAAAAATTTAATATTACTCTTATTTGTCATGCCCTCTTCATTCTGCAAGGCAGAGAAGAGCTTTAATTCGCTAAAAAGGCCAAAAATCTTTTTAAAAATTCCTATACCCTGCAATGACTAAACTATGTAGTGGTATGCCTGGCTCATCAAGATATTTTGGATTCTATTTATGTGAACAGCTGCTATTTTTAAAATAAAAAAAAACACTTAAGACACTTTAAAAAATATCAATTTTCTTCAGTAAATTGATTAATCTTACTGAAATAAGAGCCACCAAATTATAATACAATTTTATAAAAACTTGATTTTTTTTTTAAGTGAAAACGTCTTAAGGTTGTTTTGTACTTTTTTTGTGGAGAGTGAATTAGATTGAGCCGTCAGTTGTCGACTAATTGAAGTGTTTTTGAATATGGATTAAAATATCTCAAAAACTAAAATAGGACATGAATAACGTTAGCTAGGGAAATTTTCATCATTTAATTCTGTTTCTAATATTCAAAATTGTATTTTAATGTGATGCTGTGTTGGAGAAACGAAAAAGGAAGAAATGGTGTCGAAAACCAAATGATAACAAGTTTTATGGAGATATGAATTACAATATCTCAAAAATTAAAAATTGGATCTGTGTACTGTAAGCGACGGAAATGAACAACATTTCATCCTCTTTATAATGAACTATAATTTTTTTATAATTTATATTTCATATCATTGGCACTATGTTGGAGTAACGAATGTACAACGTTATACAGGCTCACATTCGTTTCTTTAACATGGTTTCGACGATATTATTGATCTCGCTTTGTTGATGTTTTCACTTCTATCTAAAACACAGACCATGTAGATCTTTTGCCGCCTTAACAAGCCTGCTCCATCTCTGCCTGTCTTGGTCTATTTCTTTCTAGTTATCTTCACTCAGCTCTTTTGCATCTTGCATTATACCTATCCATCTGCTGTTTGGCCTTCCACGTGGTCTTTTGCTTCCTATTGGGACATTCATTGTTACGTAGAGGCTTCCAGACGGATTGCTATGAGTTACATGCCCCGCCCATCTTGGCCTCCGTGTCATGGGATATTGATTGACCAATTTCTGTAAGCTGTTCTTTAGTGGGTTTTCTTCTTTATGTGTTAGTACTCTGATCCCTGTGAAGGATTTTTCTCTCAAATTTTTCAATACTTTTTTTCTAGGGTGCTGATTTGTGTCCAGGTCTCACAGCCAAATATTAGAACTGGCTTTTTCATAGCATTGCACACCCTCAATTTGAGATTTCTTGGGATTTCATTACCTTTAAAAATGAAATGAAAGCTCTGTTACGCTGGTCTATTTCTGCCCCTTGGTGATTCATTGAGGTTATTGTGGAGCCGAGGTATTTAAATTTGTTTACTCTCGGAAATGATTTTCCTTTTGCACAGATCCTGTTATTAGGACGGAATTTTTGGCTTATTATCATATATTTTGTTTTGCCTTCATTTACTCGTATGCCGATCTGCTCTGCCTCATATCAGAGTCTTAGCGAGTTTCTCAATGTCCTCTTGATTACTTCCAAGAACAGCTATATCTATTTATACTAATATTCATAATTTTTGTTTCAGATCGGAGGATTCCCTACATTAATTTTATACAAGAAAGGAGAGAAAGTAGACAAATATTCTGGCTCGAGGGCGCTCTTGGACCTTTACGATTTTGTGAGAAAGCATGTCGATCAAGGTCACGATGAGCTGTGATTTGTCACGAATTTTCTTTTTAAATCGTGAAGTCATTTTTTTTTTCAAACATACACATTTAACTTCTCATCATTAGATATATTATAAGGAAAACAAAAACAAAAAAAATCTTGTTTAAGACACATTCATTCTTGAACATAAACATAGCATATTTGTACTTAAATTAATTTTTCCCATCATTATTAAATTAAATAAACATTAGATATAATATGATAATTTCAGTATAGCCAGATAAGACTGTGATGTTTAAACGTAATCGTAACTTCAGAGAAGTGTTTAAGATAAATCTTCTAATTCAATCCATTTTAGGATGTTGATGTTATTTATTAATTGTATTTGAACAAGTGTTTTGTAATAAGAGTTAAGACTCTTCATAATTTTTTTTTTTTTAATTTTGATTTATTTACCCTCTTATGGATTATAGTTACCATAAAGTACTATAATTTTTAAGAATTTATTAAAGAATAAAAATTTAATAAATTTATGTCTGTAATGTTATTAAAAAATCAACCTTTCCTTATTGATTTTAATTTTATGCTTAAGAAAACTTTACCAAACTAATAGTGCGGTTGAAGTTGTAATGGTCCAGTCTATTGAGGTGTCACTTGAGTAACCTCAAAACATATACGTGATTCAATCATGATGTGGATGGGTTGAAATTTATTTTTTTGGTGGATCCACACAATACATATTGACTCCACCGTGGCTAGAATATATTAGGTTGTCCCATAATTTTTTTCCTTTTTCTTTGTTTGTTGTTTAAGGTTGATTTACTGAGTTATACGCAAAACGTTCATCTCTATTACTTTCAGGAAGCCTCTTATACCCCTTTTCCAAAATTGTTGAGGCTTACAAAAATTCATCGAGATAAATTTTTTACATTTATCACGGAAAGATTTTTTTTACGATGAAGAAAGTCCCAAACAAACTTAATGAGTTTCTGTCTTACGGATGCGACATTGGCCGTACTGTCCTGACATGCCCCATCCGATTATTACTTGTTTTTTTGATTAAAAAATTCTCTCCGTGATAAATGTCAAAAATCCAAAAACTAAATAAAAAAAGGAGGGAGGCATCAGAGTGTCCTCTCTGATATCCTCAGTACAGTGTTCAATATTCTTAGGAATTGGTGCAGGATTAAAGGACTAAGCATCAACCCTAGGAAAATCAATGTGTGTATCTTCACCAAGAAGAAGAAGGTGGCTATTAAAATGCCGGAAATCAATGGTATCCAAGTGACACTGAGTAAGGAAGTAAAGCACCTTGGAGTCACTTTGGACCATAAACTGACATGGACTAAACACGTTCAAAACGTGACAAGTAAAGCCCTCAAATGCCTATGGGCCTGTAAAAGAGCGATAGGAAAGAATTGGGGGCTAAAACCAAAAATGGTATACTGGCTGTACACAACAACAGTCAGACCTATCATACTTTACTCAGCTTTGCTATGGTGGCACAAAGCAAAGACTGTAGCCAATGTATCCTTATTAGGAAAGATCCAAAGGCTTGCTTGTATAATGATAACAGGCGCAATGAGCACGACACCGACGGCTGCTATGGAGGTGATGCTTGGCATGCCCCCGCTGCAGCTGGAGGTGGAGGCTCGGGCAACAGTTACACTGTACAGGATAAGCAAGTCAACTTACTGCTCAACAGTCCCCTGTCAGGGAGGACACACAACACTGCTGAACAGGATTGGAAGTGAAAGAGTGCTAGCTATGCACTCTGACACTCTAATCCGAGAACATCAGGACCGGAAATATAAGGTTGAGATAGATAGCAGCAGAATTCATAAACCAAATAGTGGAATAAATTGCTACACAGATGGCTCTCTAACAGCCTTCGGCTCTGGAGCAGGCATCTATCGCAAAGATATAAAAGAAAAAATTTCTATACCACTTGGCAGGTATGCTTCAGTGTTTCAATCCGAGATACTGGCAATCTGCCATTGTGTACAAAACCTACTGCAAACCAATGTGACTGAGAAAAGGATCACCATCTTTACTGACAGTCAGGCAGCAATAGGTGCTCTTGACAATTATTATGTTTATTCAAAGGTCGTTAAGGAATGCAATAGAGCACTTAACGAGCTAACTGAGCACAACAGAGTTGCAGTGGAGTGGGTGCCAGGCCATTCTGGCATACCGGGCAACGAAATGGCTGATGAGCAAGCCAGGTTGGGCTCAGATACTATTCCTATAACTCCCGAGCCTGTCTGTGGAATCAGCCTTAGTACTGCCAAGGGCAGGATCAGGGAGATCTATGGGAACAAATTTAGGAATTACTGGACCGACAAGAAACAGAGACACTCGAAGCTGTTCCTTAAAGGCCCATGTAAAAAAAGGAGTGAACAGCTACTGAACATGGACAGAGCAGCTCTCAAAAAACTCACAGCGATCTACACAGGTCACTGTAAGTTAAATAATCATATGTTCAATCTCCGAGTAATGACGAATCCGATATGCAGATTCTGTCAGGAGGAGAATGAAACAGCTTTTCACATCATATGCAGATGTGACAAGTTTATAAGGCTGAGACTGGCGTTATTTGGGGAGGAACAGATGGATCTCCCCAGTAGATTTGAGTCGGTTAACCCAACCAGCCTACTGAGATACGCGGAAGCGACAGGACTAACGTTTTGAATAAGACGACCTAGCGAATATTGGCGCACAATGGACCCAAAGGGGTCGACGTGTACATCTTGATAAATATTGTAATATTTCTCCTATACTTGTAACTAGTAATATTATGGAAGATCGCTTTAATACTATTGGGATACTTCTAGAAGAAATAAGAGGTTGTTAAATAATAAACAAAATTATAAGAGTATTAATTTATTGAAATTTATAATTATTTTATCTCAAGGTAAGGGTCACTGACAATCAGATCATAACACTCAGACAAAATAATACTAACTACACGAAACACTGTTTGATTTTAAAATAAAGACAAGTATGGATTGGCAAGTTAACCTTTTTTCTATAGATACTGTTTCTTCCTTTGTTTCACTGAATTTGTTTGTCTTTTAACATTTTCCTACGTTCTGCCAAACACATCTTCCAAAATGATGACACTTTCTTCTACTCAACTCAAGCTCCCTGGGAGATCCTCTCTCTTGTAATTCCACACAACTAGCCTCTCTGCCAAACAACAACTTCCAAGATGGTAAAACTATTACTGAATTTTACCCACTGAAAATCCCTTCTCCTATCCTCTCTTCACCCTAGCCAAACACCAACTGCTTGCCAAAACAAAATCCTTTGTCCCCTCTCCTCTTTGGGATTTTCCTTTCTGAGAAAACTACAGAGCAGCCATTTCCCCCCCCCCCCTGAACTAGTAGAACTAGATTGCTTGCCTTTTAACTGTTCAACATTAATTTATTAAACCCTTTTTACCCACTTCCAATAAAGGTGTATATTACAATTTTTTGCAAGTAAGTCTCAACAATTTTGGAAAAAGAGGTATAAGATACTTCCTCAGAGATGGAAGAAGGTAATAGAGCAGAACGGTTCATGGTAAATCAACCTTAAACAACAAATAAAGAAAAAGGAAAGAACCCTAATATAATAGTCTGTGGTATAGAAAAAAGGTGACCTTAAAAAATATTGAGTCCTTTGGCATAACCTACACCCCCAAATTATAAAAATAATGAGGTTATACATGCCAAATGGCCCAATATTTTTGTAGGCGATCTTTTTCATCAATTTTGTGGTCAAATTCTCTTACGATCCAATTGGAAAGAAAATGAGTATTTACGAGTTTTTAGTACCTAATTAAATAGACCAAGTTTGCCAACCTCCAGATTGAAAACACCTTCCAGAATTTTCATAAATATATTTGTAGGTCACAATGAGATGAAACTATTTATGAAGTTTCAGGCGGATGTTAATAATTTGATTAAAAGGATCTGTTCCACAGACTATAAAGACCTCAGGAATATGACAAAACTTCTCCTTAAATAGCAATATTTCTCAGATTACATAAACATATTTGTCTCATTATAAGCTCCTACCTAACAATTTCTTCGGACCATGGTCACCTTGGGGGGCAAGGTCATCACTTAGATGCCTGGTCAGTTTGAGTTGTCGGCCTCCGGTAGGTTGATGAGCCTCAAATACTGGTGTGGAGGGGTATTGCCGCGGACAGTATTGCTTTTACTCTCTACCTGACCATTTTTGGCATACAGGGAGGAGGGTTATCCTACTGGTATAACCAATCTATTCTAAACATAGTGCAAAGTAGGGATAGCCATTGATAGTATCTACTTCAATATTACTGACTATCGATATTGTCCTTACAATATTTTAATTAAAAAAATAAAAATTAAAACTATTGTTTTCAGAAAGTGCTTGGAATTATATATGAATCTGCTCATTATAAAAAAATATATATACTCATCTTGTATGTTTCGTATAGAATATATCAGCTACCTCTAAGTCGAGTTGAATAGTGTGCATGGGACCCTTAATTTGATCAAATTTGTTAGTTAAAACCTCAAACCAAGGCCATGAATTGTCAAAGAAATCTATATAGGATGAAAATAAATTAGCATTTCACTGAATCAAATATATGGCTGAATGGAAAGCATAATTGGTTGAATGGAAATTTCTGGAAAAAATCTGAGGATGGCGAAGATGGACAGGAACTAGCAAAAATTAATTTTACGAAGGAGAATATAATTAATATTTCCATTAATTAATGTAAAGAAGAAAGTAATATCTTTTTTTATATGCCTACATGTTAGAGAATCAATATTTATATTGATATTCATATTTTAAAAATGTTTATAATATTGAATATGGACCTGTCTGCGAGAACGGCAACCGGAGAATAAGAAAGAATGAGGAACTGAAAGAAATGGTCCAAGAACCAGATCTGGTTTCTTTTGTTAAAAAGAATCAGTTGAGGTGGCTGGGACACATGTAGAGCGGATGCCGACGAATAGGATACTGAAAAAATTACAGGATGGTAAGCCTGGAGGAGAAAGAGTTAGAGGAGGTCCACGATTAAGATGGTCAGATGGAATGGAGAGAGTGTTGAGAGAGATGGGAATCGGAGAGTGGAGGAGACTCGCCGAGGATAGGGAAGAGTGGAGCAGGATTGTAGAGGAGGCCCAAGCCCTTGTAGGGCTGTAGCGCCATGGAGTAAGTAAGTTATAATATTGACGGTTGATATTTCAAGTCCGATACTTTGATGGTATCGAAAGTTATGGGTCGTTATTTATATAGATGGCAATATCAACATTGGGTCTTCGATATCCCATTTAATGTAAAAATAGAGATTCATTTTGTGGGTCTACCACAAAATAAATTTAAACCCAAACCAGGTCAGATTCGAATCGGTGCCATTAGAATCGAGGTTGTTTAGATTATGGCGCCTTAACACTCTCAACCATCACAGCCTCAAATCCTGGCCTAGTGGCCTCGTAAAACCGTACTATTTAAGTGTGTTTTATCCTCAAGGATAAAATCCTTTAGTTTGCA